TGGATAGGCCACTTACAATCTGATACCGACTCATACCGCCGCTTGTTCTGCTAAGGAGGTGGTCGCCGTCATCAACATGGGTAGTTCTCTAAATCAGGGTCCCTTTTTGGGTCCCCAATATAGTACCGCACCCTTACAAAAAGGACAGTTAGAGTATGACATATCACAACGAAGATGCTGATGCAGAAGGCGATCCGACAAGGATGGCACTGGGGAGGATGGCCGCCTTCCTAGCACCCCGCCGACGAGTCATAGCGCGTTTCACAGAAACTGATGTCCGACTCCGATGCTCGAAAACGGCAGACCATGATACTTTACAATACTAGGTATACTATACTTTACAATACCGTACAGTACTATACTATATTATACTATACTCTACTACATCATACTATACTGTACTATGCTATACCGTTTCCATATTATACAGAATTATAGAATAGACCCGGCCTTCAGGCCTCGCCGAGCTCAACCAGAATGCAGGGCTTGAGGTCTGCAACTGGAGATTGCTACAACATGGGCTTTAACTATCCCGAGCTAACATCGGGGGGGCCTGAATGAGTAGCACGAAGATCCTAAACCCTAAGCCCTAAACCCTAAACCCATACTAAACCCTACACCTTACTTCTATTCCCAAGTAGGACTCATTGCAGCTTCGATCGATTCCTTGAAAGTCCACACAGACTTATGGCAGGATCTTGACCAGAACTCTGTTAAGATCCGCATGACCCTAGTAGGACCCTCGAAACCAACACAAACCCCAAACGAATCATTCCGGCCCCTCTCATATTTGCCTGGCAGGTTTCGGCCTCACCCGAACCTACCACTGCATAGAACTTGAAGGGGTCCTCGATGCCTCCACGCGGGATGCTTGAGGGCTTAGGGTTCAGGGCCCTGCTCTTTTAAAGTCATAGCAGCTTTCGAGATTGGATCCGCGTCGCCGGTTCCAATATTTGGGGACCCCCAGGCTTGCAGCTTTGAGCAAAAGTACAGGCGAGGAGCACTCAATCGTTCAAGTCCAAGCCCCTTCATGAGAAGGTTGTTGGTAATGTAGGGGCCTTAATAATTAGAATAGGGTTTTGGGGTCCATTATACTAATAACTATAATAAGGAACCCCCAAAATAGTACTGGTAATTCCTTAGGCCCCGATATTACGCTTCTTATAGCAGTAGGCGGCTTTAGGGGTGGCCTGTGAATGGCTAGTCCAGCTTCTGCCATCTTGAACAGAAATAACCGGTCAAGCCGCTCACCCCACAGGCATTGCTAGAACCCGGCATTTGGGTTTAGGGTTTAGGGGATCTTTTCAGAAAATTATCGCATCAGCCAAGATTTCTTGATGTTTCTGCTTAGCAGGCAGACAGACTTTCAAACTTCGACCAGTTTAGTGTGTACAGAAGTCCTACCAAAAAACAAAGACGCGAGGCACCTGCGCACGCGTACATCGGCTTGAACTGGTTCCTCAGGTCGTACAAGGCTTAATACAAGGGCCTTAATAATTAGAATAGGGTTTTGGGGTCCAGTATACTATCATTATAATAAGGAGACCCCAAAATAGCATCGGTAATTCTTTAGTCCCCTATATTAGGGTGGCGCGGCCCTCTTTGGGAATCTACTTTGCATCCCGAAGCAAAACATTGCCATGCCGTAGCCTGTGGCACTCAGGACATCTGGCCGAATGACCATTGCTGGGGCACCAGAAACCACAGGACCCTCAATTTAGGCAGTCCGTGAAACTTGTATTAAGCCCGGGAAAACCTTTCAACAAGCCTCCAAAAACTCCTATAGAATGCCCAGCACATCTCCCCCCGAAACCCCATCCTAAAACCCTATAAAAACCTTCAAAAAAGCCCCTGTGGGTAGTTGCCAAAATTGTAAATTCTAGTCCTTGTTTGGGGAACCCCTAGACAACAATATAGGGTTTAGGGTTTAAGGGTTTAGGGGGTTTCGGTGGTTCAGGGTTTCGGTGGTTCAGGGTTTGAACTAGGGATCCTACTATAATTTAAGGTATCATGGGATATTGGAGTCTGTGGGTAGAATGGGATTCAGGGCTTCGGTTGTAGGGCTCAGGGTTTAGGGGTTTACGCTCTTTATAACTCGGACAAGCCGGGCGAGGATCCATGGTCGCAGGTCGGAGTGATACTGATTGCAGGTCTGCTTGCGGTTTCGGGTTTAGGGTTTTGGGGGGGTTATGGGGGTCGGATTTAGGGCCATACTTGGAGGATCATGGGACTTGGTAAGTAAGGTTATAAGTACCCTAATTTGGCTAATTATAGTTACCGTAATTATAACCCTAGTTTCTAAGTTCCATGATCCTCCAAGTAGAAACCCCTCCCATATCTGTGCCGAGTCGCAGCAACTGGAACGCCGGAGTGGGGTCTGGACCCTGGTGGCAGAACCAGCATGGAAGACGTGGGCAAAGCAGGCTCCTCGGAGTTGTTTTGAGAAAATTCCCCGGAGTTTAATGTCTTATCGGATTTTTAGGGTTGAGGGAATTTCTGTACTCATAGGTTCTTAGAAGGCCCTATAAGAGCTCTGCCAGGGTGCTAGAAGGCTCCCTGGAGAGTTTTGGAGGGTCTTCACAGGGGGCTTTTATGATTCACCAACAGAAGTTTGTAAGGTTTCATGAGGCGACTAGTGTTCAACAAGTCTTGAGAAGGCACTAGAAGGGCTCCAGTGACTCTAGTTTTGGCTCACGCATGGGAGAGCCGAAGAATCTGCAGGGCAGGTTGTGCTTTGGCCACGTGACGACCTAGCCTACCCAGAACCAGCGGTCCCTGCAAGGAAAGCCTAGTTACACGATCAGACTCTTACACTCAAAGCTAACTCTAGTAGTAGTGGTGGTCGTAGTTGTTGTTTGTTTGCTTGCTTGCTTGCTTGCTTGCTTGCTTGCTTGCTTGCTTGCTTGCTTGCTTGCTTGCTTGCTTGCTTGCTTGCTTGCTTGCTTGCTTGCTTGCTTGCTTTTGTTGTTGTTGTTGGTGGTGCTGTTGTTGTGGCTGTTGTCGTCGTCGGTGTTGTGGTTGGTCGTTGCTGTTGGTGTTGCTGTTGCTGTTGTTGGTGTTGATGTTGGTGTTGGTGTTGTTGCTGTTCCTGTTTCTGTTGCTGCTGCTGTCGTTGGTGTTGATGTGTTGGTGTTGGTGTTGTTGCTATTCCTGTTGCTGTTGCTGCTGCTGTT